CCTAGTGCTTCCCCTGCCTTGCCTTCTTCCTGTCTGTAATACAAACGTAAGGAGAAATGGCACCTTTTTACTCTGCAGATTTGCCCCTTGGGTGCGTTCTTACCTGCCTGCAGTAGCAACTGCAAATGTTGCCTGCTTTTTGCCATGAGAGTCACATGGAGTGAAAACAGCTGAAAAAAAACTATAAGGCAGAGCATGTTTCTTTCTGAGCGTTGTTAGCGTTTGGTACATACTGGCTTCTGGGTCACCTGAATACCTACGCAAAGTCAATGTTGAGGTGAATTATGGAGAGGATGAGTACTGAGCACAGGTGTAACTCAGGGATGATTTGATCTGCAGAATCTATTACTGACCGTGCTAATGGGGAGAAGATCAGCTGGTTTCTAGGTCCTAGTCCATAGGCCTGACAACTGGCAAATAGGTATTTTTTCTTGCAAACTGAGGAGACGTGACATGGTACGTCCAACATGATGTACATGGTGATACCGTAAAAATGGCATCTCTTTTGAGGTGGGACCATACTTCTGCCTTCATGCCTCTTTTCCTCTTTGTTTGCCATTTGCCATTTGTCTGTCCTATGAGTCAAGAGTTGACTGCAGAGTGGTAAAACACTCAGACTTCTTTTTGTTTCAGCCAGTAATATTCTGTGGTCTGCCCTTTGGCTAATTCCATCGTCTTACTCTCCTGACCTCTTTAAAAAAGCCGTGTTTCCTAACTGTATGATGCCAGATTTACAAGATTGATCTCTAAGCATTTCACACTGCATTGCCTTGCATATTTTATATCTATGTTCTAATTAAGTCATCAGGTCATGATGGATGGGTGTTCACGTCAGTGACTCTTCTCTGAATGATGAACAGTGGAAGGAAGTGTCCAGGAGCTTGGCGGGGGGGTGTGTGTGCAAATGAGTTGGTCCCATATGAGCTTTTAATATGCTCTTCCAGGCCGAGTTTGGAGTTGATATGTGATCTCAGATGGGATTCCCTGGAAACTGAAAAACTCTGCTTAGCTGTGGCTCTTCCAGTACATGCTCCCACACATCTCCTTGAATGTTGGGCATCATTTCTCAGCTAGATGTAGTGAAAGCAACTGAATCCAAAATGGCAGGAGAGAGTAAGTTTAGACATAGGAAAAGCAGGAAAATACCTGAGAGCCCTGGCGAAGGAGCAGAAGCTAGTTATAGAAAAGCTGCTCAAGGCTAAGAACCGTTCCTGTAGGAAGGAAGAAGCAGTGGGCTGAGACACAGTATTTGCTTTCTTTCCAGACTTGTGTCAGCTGTGTTTTAGTCTGCGCTGGCTTACCACTACCTTTCTTGCCCTTCTTTCCGTACATGTCTGTCTGCTACAGCAGCAAGCAATGAAACACTTTCTTTGCGTTGTGAAACTAGTAAGTGGGGTGTTCCTTGGTTCAGCGGTCAGTTCCAGGCCAGCCAAGCTCATTTGTTTAGAGGATGTCCTTGCAAGACTTCTCACACTGACCGAACAAGCCTTGCATAAGTAATGGGAATCTGCACACTAGCTGCTTCCATGCCTGGTGGTCACTCAGCGTGGCAGCCGGTTTCTTTTGCCTATCTGGCAGCGATGTGAATCAACTCCTGAAACAAGTGGGCAGCCAAGTGTAAGTTGTAGCTGGCTACCTGGCGTGATGCCGATCCACATTCATTGAGAGTATGAACAAAGCAAGAAAAAAGGGCTCAGCTGATCTTGCCTTTTTGTCAGGAGTTGTTGGTGGGGTCTTTTGTCAGGGTTTCGCCAGCCAGTCAGGTCTGTTTTGTCCGGATGATTGGCAGCTTATGCAGCTTGTTTCAGTTCTTTAACTGATTTTGAGTTCCAATCAAGTGCAATCTCAGAATAGTCTGGGGGACCCACACATCCCTCTAGAAGGAGGGATATTCAGGGCAGGCAAGCAGAATGCCTATGTGTGCTGCTGGAGCAACAGTGAAAATTGCCGGAAACTCAGGGAGAAAGTCCTTCAGAAGAGGAACCTGACATCACGAAGAGACAAGCTTTCAAATCTTGGTCTTTATATAAGAGGGCAAATACCCACTTTCAGAATATATTGTATTCAAGGCTCTTTGGTTTTGGGAGGTTGAGTGAAGAAGGTTCATGACATCTTAGTTGTGTCAAGAAAATGCTCTCTTTCTCCCTCATACATGTTTTCTTTTAATTCTTTTTTCCTTTTCTATTTTTGTGTCTGATGTTGAAGTTCATTTGATTTTCTGATTCCTCCTGCATTTAATTTCCCTGAGTTCAGTCTCTGCCTGGATTTGGAGGCATAATCATTAGTATTTGGAAGTGTGGGGTTAAAATGATAAAATAAATTTGTTATAATATAGGGTTTTTTCCTTCTAGTTTTTCAAGGTCTAATTATTTTGCGGCTGATCTAGTATGCAATTGATAAGATGAAAATGTAAATTTACAGGTTTAGTATTCAAAGCATTTTTCGTCTGATCAAAGAGAGGGAAGCATTTTGCAAAACACAAAGCTTGCATTATTGCAGATGTCTGAAGTTATGTGAATGTAGTCAAGCCATCAGGAAATCCACAGTGCATCCACTAATGTTTATTTCATTTTTCTACAGGAGGTCTTGACCTTATCTTCATGCCAGGCCTTGGGTTTGACAAAAAAGGCAACAGACTGGGAAGAGGGAAAGGATATTATGATACCTATCTTGAAAGATGTATGAAACATCCCAGAGGAAAGCCTTACACGATTGCCTTGGCTTTTAGGGAACAGATTTGTGAATCAGTGCCTGTGGCAGAAAATGATGTCCAAGTAGATGAAATCCTTTATGAAGACTGCTGAAAGTATGTTGATACCAACCCACCTTCAGAGTGACCAACCAAAGATGTCAGATTCATCAATCATGACTTTTTAATAGTCGTATGTGACTTTGGGAGCAATAAAATACGCTATCCGTGTTTGAAAAAAAAAAAACCTCAACATAAATATGGTAATAGTAGTGAGGATTGCATTGATTTGCTTCTAATTAGCAAATACCTGGTGAGAATTCTTATTCTAGAATCAATAGAAACAAGAATGTGTGACTGTTTATTACAGTAAGGACCATTTCTTCTCATCATACATTTGAGGAACAAGCTACTTGATGCTTAACAGTTTTCTTGTTGCAGTTTATAAGTGAACTGTATACTAATGACAGTTCTTGATTCATTCTGGAATTAGATAATTGCTATGGTAAAAGTTTTTAGTACTTAAATATTATGTGCATCCATGAGCAAAACAAGAAACTGCCAGATAAGTCCTTTAGTAAGCTGGGCAAAAAATGGTGATTGGGAAAAAGTCTTAATTGATTTTAGTGTATACAATAATTTTGACTGTTTACTTGGCTTCTTGAAGTTGTCTTAAAATAAGGGAGTATCTGTTAATAATAAAAGGTTCATGCCCATAGCTTTGGTATATGGTTCTTTCCTTTATATGCATACAAGATGGTAATGTAGTCTAAGATGTGCTCAGTGAGTTCTCCATCTGGAGAAAACCAGCTCTTTTTTTTTTGTAAAATAATGTTCAAAATTACTTTAAGTTCTATAATTTTGTACATGGGCCATTCATAATGTCCAAAAATATAGTGTGAAGTATGGGTCCTATGTTAAAGAATAAAGAGAAGCTAAGAATGGCAGCAAGCAGGTTTTATGGATTGAGTAAGTTTTTGGGTGGAAGCTTGGTTGTTCTTCAGTTCTCCAGACCATCCTGGAAATCAGGAAGAAGATAATGAGTTTTCCTCTGAAAAACCTCACTATCCAAAGATAGTGAGTTGTCCTCTGCACACTGTTCTCATAGTAATAGGACACAAGATTTCCAATCAGGATGAATCAAACTGTCCAAATTTTGTGTTCCTTCTTCAGTGTAACTTCGCTATTTCTATACGTGTTTAATGCCTCCCTCAATCAATAAATCAGTGCATTTATTTTCACCAAACTACTCTGTGTCATCATTAAAAAATCCGTGAATTCTCAAGGACGAGCTGTGGAGCAGAATGACCCTAAGAATTCCTCAGTGATAACTGTTTTTGTGAACAAAACCATGCCTACAGTACACAGGAACCTTTTCATTTCAGAATGCTTGTATTCAGTTTTATTTCCATTTTGCTAATACAGGAACTAATTAAACCCTCTTGCTCAGGGGTGAACATAAGCTTAGCATCTCAGGTGTCTCTGGCCTGTGCTCCCTGGTGCTTCTCCGTGCTGTGTTAACATGGGTCCATCTGGCCGGGGTGAAGATACCCTCAGGATTGGCCTGCTGGGTTTCCCACCAGTGCATCCAGAAAAGCTACAACCTGAACAAGACAGCTGGTAGCTGCAATATGGGCTGTTTAGTAAAACGATGGTGATCAGACTTGGCCTTCCATCGGTTCTTTATCAAACTATTTCACTCCACCAAATGAAAGACGCAGGGTAAGATGTGTTCATGTATCAGCAGATGTATGCAACCAGACATTGAGGTGACAGTATTGGTGCTGGTGCGTGCCGCCGAGCATCCTCCAGCTCCTCTCAGCTCTGCAGTGCTGCCAGCTGTACCGCCTTACAGGAGGGAGGGAGACTTTTACAATTCAAGACCTTTGGGAAATAAATGTGATGAGAAAATTGGACCTTTTTTTTTTCTTTTTCACAGTGTCTGTCCTGGCAGTATTTTAATCCCTTCTTCATTTCTGAACTTCTGTTGGCATATGGAGAGTGACAAAAAAAAAAAGGATGGGGCAGGCTTTGTGCGTGGCAGACTTATCGCTAGGTTTGCCTGCAAGGCTGTTTGAGTTCACCTCTCACGTTAGGCTCAGCACTACGCCATATGGCATGGCCTGCCATGGACATCAACAAAGCTACGCTGAAGCCAGTATTTTTCACAGCGGAAACCTGGATCCCAGATCTGATAGATGTTTTAAATGCATATATTAAGTCCAGCCCCAATTCAACAAGCTACCTGCTTCCACCCCACCAAAACCAGGGGGTGCTTTTAGTGGCGTCCTGCCTCAAGGTTTAACCATGGGCTCCTGAGACGTGTTTGCATGGGTTTGGTTAGTGCGACACTAAGCCTGACTTGCAGGAGTGTTGCTCCAGTTCTACTTTGGGCACAAAATTAAGAGGCCATGTCAGCATAACAGAACCTAATCAGAGGCTAATGACCTCTTGCTGCTACATTCAAGCTGAGGGGAAGCCATGATGTTTTAAAGCTGAATGCTATTTTTTTGGGCTGTGTTTTATTAGGACACCTTGTGCCACATAAATTAAATGACTACCATGAAATCAAAGTTTTTATCCAAAACCTCTGCACTTTGTGGCTTTGCTTTATGGAGGCATTCTTTATTTGAGAGGGGTTTTTTATTACTATTACCGCTATTCTTTGCCCTGTTAGATACGAGTTTATTCACAAAACTTTATGACCCTTCTGGATTAGCTTTTGATCTTGCTGTCTGAGCTTTGATTTATTCACTAGAATAAGGGCTAGCTTGACTCATATGTACTTCACTACAGGTGATACCAGGTGAACAACTGTGTACAAAAAGGCCAGCATATGGTGAAGAGGCTTCAGGGCCAGTGCTGACAACTCTGCAGGAGCAAAGTGCTTAGAGAGAGAGGAGGACACAGTTATATGTTTTGTTGTGTGGGAGTTCGAAATAGGGGAGCAAAGCAAAAAGCAAGAGTTTGGATGCAAAACACAGGCCCATTCCAGCACAGCCAGAGATACGTGCCAAGCTTTGTCTTCATGGGCTCTCTGGAGACGCTGGAACTAACTGGTATATGAAAAGCAAGCAAGCTTTGAAGGCTTTCGGGGCTCGAGACAATGGGTGTCCCCACCCTACGTATCTCACAGATCACATTTCAATACATCGTGGAGCTGTTCTCTCCCGCTTTCGCTCCAAACCACCCTTTTGGCTACAGCTGCCCCGGGAAAGGATGAGGAAACTATTTAATGTACTGTATCATTGGGAACACGAGGAGCTGGCGCTTTGTTTCTTGCCAGCCTCTCCTGGGTCAGGAGATCATCACGGGCTCAGCGGCCAGGCTGGGGGAGCTGCAGGACCCCAGCTGATGCAGATACGTTTGGCTGGTGGGGATAGTAAATCAATATTTATGTATATTGTCTCGAGAATCACAGAGCTAAATAAATGTGACAGCTTTCACTTGACATCCCCAACCTTGCTGCTGTCAGTCAGGGTTTTTCTTTTTGCCACATAACATGAAATCGCTGTCAGTTCGATAGTATATAGCAGTGTTTCTGAAGCACAGAGGTTAGGAGGTTGGTAGGTGCGTCAGAATTATTTACGTTTGCTATGCATAAAATGGCACTTGGGGAGCAAGGCAGGCTGCCAAGAAGGAGAGGAATCAGGGCTATCTGGTTGCTCTCTTGTATCTCTCCATGCTGGATTGTCAGGGTAGGATTTATAAAAATTGCTTCAAAACAGTATCATCTTTCCTCAAACGGACGTGCCCCCGTCTGTTGCAGTCGATGCCGTTATTGCTATTCTCATGACAAAGCGTCTATCAGTCTCTGCTTTGTTTATAAACAGATCTGCCCGCCCTGCATAAGAAATGGATAGGCTGAGGAAAAATACCATTACCAAAGGAATAAGTTAATTATATTTCGGGATCTCAGCAGGGAATCCTATCTCGGAGTATTCAGTAAGATCTGACCAGTGGAGTTATAATTAAAAAATGTCCCCAGGGAGGAACTTGTAAATTATTTACTGTAAGGGGCTTTTCCAGGCTCTTTTAGTTTAATTACACACTCAGAAAGAGAAAGGCCTCAGAAACAAATTAACTAAGAGGTTGAAATGGCTTTGTTAAAATCATGTTCACAGCTAAGCAAGTGGAACACTGTGAGCAAGGTTCAAAAATAGGACAAATCTTCGGAAGCTGGCATTGCTCATGGTTTAAAAATCATGTGGAAAGCACCAGAATGTCCAGGTGTAGAATACGTAATCATTGGGTTTGCCCAGTATTCCCACTGGCCACGGAGGACTTTGTATGTAGTCCAGATCTGACAGGGTCTCACGTCCTCATGGCCATTTGCTGTGTGGGGAGAGGAGCTGACTTTTGTGGGCTTTTTGTAGGGTACGGATGAAGTCCTAGCAAAGGGAGATGAAAGATTAGAAGTGATGGAGAGGCAGAATAAGAGGATGCTGGGACGGTAGGAGTTTTCCATCGCTCTCACACCACCTATGTCACTTTAACTCAAAACAGCCCGGTTAACCCTCAGTGGAAGGTGGGCTGAATGTGGCCCTTGGTGCCAAGAGACAGGCACCCATGCTGTTAGCGGTTGCGTCCTTTTGAAACGGATGGTTGAAACCTGACTTGCCCGCCCTCCCGTGTGAAACACAGCTTAACCATTTGCTACCAAAGTTGGGCCCTGGAGTTGGCCTTTGCTGGAAGGCAGCTGGCGTGGTCTCTGCTCAGATGTAGAGAGTGGAAGTCAAGAGGCCAGCACGCTCCCTCATCTCAACCACTGACTCATTGCTTGGCAGAGAGGGAGGCATTGTCTAATATCTGTTTGCTAAGGACTAAGGCAGCCAGTAATGCTATATCTGCTTGCCTGTTGATGCCAAGTTTTGTGTATGTAATGGCCTTTCAGCTGCCATTGTCCTTGCATTTATTTCTTTCTGAAAGCACCCACATCTGCTGCGGCACCTTTACCGAAGAGCCAACTGGCTGAGCGGAGCCGCCAGCCAGACACGGCTGCTGGTGCCTATGCACTTGCTAGCCCTTATGCACACATATAGCATTTCTCTTTTCCTTGAGCCTCTTTTTTCTTTCTCATTTATTGCACTTACATGGCTTGCTTCGATGGAGACTGGCCCAGAGTTAACAGTCTCTCTACCCCCTGTATGTGTACAGTCTTCAACGCAAGCCATTTGATCATAGCCTGAGGGTACCATTATCATGTCCTAAACAGTAAGTTCTCCACCTTCAGGCAAACTAGCAGAAAATCCACAGATGAAAGCTGCTTTAGTCATTCATCAGGCAGATGAGATCTCTGCTTTTATTTTGTTATAGTGTAAATCTGCTGCTTAGTTTCCTAGTCTCTCTGAATCATAAAAATGCTTGTAGCAAATGCCAGTTTGTCTGTCACCAGAATAATACATTAAATGGCTTATCAGCGCCAAGAGAAGACTACAATACTTTTTACATGATTTGGATATATAGTTAGGGAACAAAATATGTTGACAGCTTTAGAATTGTCTTGATGAGTAGATTTTATTTTGTATTTTACTATAGCGTATCCAGGAGTACTTGGGGAGGAAAGAGAAGACGTCCCTGAATTTCTGCAAATGTAGCATATTGATGGGGAAAACCACAGAAGGAGAATGGAGTAGAACATAAATGCAAAATGAAGGACTGTACTTGAAAGGGCAGAACTATAAGGTTTGAATAGTCTCAGCAGAAGTATTGCTATTTAGTTATTAGGAGTGGTGAGTCCATATTAACCTTTATGGAAAAGTACTATAGACTACAATAAAGCTGAATACTTTTCTATAGCCTTTTGTTATCACCTTGTCAAATTTAATAAAAAATCACCAATAATGAAATTCTATTAGAATGGCTAAAAAAAAAATTACTGGAAAGGATCATTTACTATTAAATAGTTCAGATTCATAGGGTGATTGTTATTAGACCATATTAAAATGTGTATGACTTTTTCATTCTGGGTACAGCTGGAAAAAGTAATTACAGATAAACTATGAAGGGCCTCCGCTATTGTTGCCTTGCCCGTGAGCGAGCTGCCCTGGTTGGTTTTGTATCACTGCCGTCCTGCGTGCCCGGGGTAAGTAGGGGCAGAGCTCAGGACTGCCCGAGACTGACCCAGGAGGGACAAGGCGGAGGTGGGATGGTCTCACCTATATACTGTGGCTGGGGTAAGATAGCACGGGACATAACAAGGGTA